AAAGCACTTTCTTCTTTTGGTGTTAAATGAAATTGTTCGCGAAATAAATATATTTTCAACATATAAATAACTTTGGCCATCCACCGCGCGTGATGAATGGCACCTGGCATTTTAAATCGAATATTATTAGGAAGTTTTCCACCCAGAAAAATTACTGTTAATTCTAGTAACTCTCGGTAATCATCTCTTAGGTGATTTTCTAAAAGTATAAATTCCTTACTATCTACATCGTCACATTCGTCAGAACTACTCGACGACTGTAGTTCTATAGTTTTATCTGAAATTAATTTTATATTATTACACATTTATTGAAATCAAAATTAATATTATAGACTAAAAACGTACACAAAGCTTCAAGTTCATCACGGGCACGATATTTTCTTTTATTTGTCACTTGTTTGCTATCTTCTATGATTTTTTCTTTTTTTTATCATTTTTTGATCAATACCAAGCAACGACCCAGGTCGACCTTTCTGTCTCTGGGCTATTAAAAATGCTTTGTCATTCTCAATAGACAGTAAATCTAATGCATTTGCNATATTATTATACATTTATTGAAATCAAAATTAATATTATAGACTAAAAACGTACACAAAGCTTCAAGTTCATCACGGGCACAATATTTTATTTTATTTGTCGCTTGTTTGCTATCTTCTATGATTTTTTTATTTTTTTATCAATACCAAGCAACGACCCAGGTCGACCTTTCTGTCTCTGGGCTATTAAAAATGCTTTGTCATTCTCAAAAGACAGTAAATCTGATGCATTTGCACTCGCTACGTCGAATAAATCATCTAATTTTGATAGAAACTGCGTATTTTTTTCCATTTGCACTTTTTTTATATTCTAATTTTTGTAAATTTCTCCACTCTTTGTATAAACCTTCCAGCTCGTTCACACACTTTTGTTCTGTTCTCATTGGAATGCGTGTCTTCCACCAAAAAATGATTGCTTCTTGTATCACTAATGTAGCACTTTGATGCAAATTTAAGTTTACTTCACGCATATTAAAAAATAGTACCGACAAAACTTGTTTGTTTGATGGTAATTTACTACCAACAATTTGATTTGTACTATATCCAATTAAAAAAATATATTTCGACTCACGTAAACTATCCCTGGTAACCATTGTAAGTCACTAAAATAAAATGTATGACGTACAAAATTTGAAAATTTAATACTCAACAATTTNTTTATAACAAAAACTTAACGATTTTGAAAAATTTTCTATATTTGTAACTTCAGAGCTGTTGTGGCACGGGTTAAATTTATTTGATTTGTCTAAAACTTTATTTATATCATTATTTTTAGTAATGGAACTTATTAGGGGGGAGTAATTTAAAAAATTTGGTTATTTTTTTTTCATACATAATAGAGGACCACCCTAATGTATATAAATAAATATTAATATTTTTTAGAAAGTTTCTATTTAACAAATTTAAGATATATATAGGGTATACCTACGAAGTTCTAAAATTGTATGTGCCTACGTATAATATTTCTCTCATTTCCATTCGCCCCGAATTTTCGAAGGTGAAATCACTACTTATTTTCAAATTTTCAAACGAATGAAGTCATATATAGGTAAATAGGTACCTACATTGAATTTTCACAGAAATATGTTGACATGGGGGGAGGAAGTATCAGATCTTAAATCGAGTTTTTGTATTTATTATTTATATTTAAAATTAAGATTTTTTAAATGATAACATGTATATTATAGGTAGGTTAGGTTAGAAATTCGTAATCTCGTCCATACTGATAGGAAATTAATCGTTCATATTTTATTATAATTATATATGAAAAAGAATAATTAAAAAATAAATTATAAATTATAAATAATTTGTTAATTATTATAATAGTGATATAGTCCTAAATAACAAACATTTTGATTAAAACGTTCCATATTATTTTATCTATTGTGACATAAACTTAATTAGCATACAATTTTGTTTACCTCTCAAAAATTGTCCTAGTCATGTAAAGTTTTTTTTTCTTAACAATTTTCCGATTTTCTATTTTAATTCCTCATAAATTCCTATTTCAATCGAAATCTGCCCAGCTAAAATATTTTACCATTAGCTCTCAGGTATCTCTAACATGAACACACTTTATATAACATACAATCATTAATTTAATAGTTAAAAAACTTACAGACTTACTTAGCACAATTCTTTGTTTGACTAAAATTTATATTCGATACTTTTATTTGTTTATTTTTTTAGAATCTAAGTAGAACAAGAAGTTGTATTAGTTTAACCAAGATCTGTTTTTTTCATGAATAACCGGGGGAAAACACTTTTGGTTAAGTAAAAATGCCTCATCCAAATTTTTTATACCATACCTTAAAAAATGTGGATTTTCGCCAAACGTTACTTTATTTTAACACGATTTCTAAAAATTCTAAACAGTATTTATAAAAAAAATAAAACAACTGACAAAAAATGACGATATTATATTGGCCTACTCCTATTTATGATGATTTTTCGGTTGCCTTTACTACAAGGGAAAATCATTACTACTACATAAAAACCTACCGGTTAACAAAGCTCCACTCAGAATCGTGTTTGATTGTAACTACGATTTATCATTATATTATACTATATTATTTCTCTATCATATATCCTATATGGGTATCTTTAAAACTTTTATTTACCTATATAACAGTAGCCCACGTAAGGTGAGATGTTTACATTGGGTTTTTTTAATATTAAATAGGTACTTATTACAGTCATAACACAATATAATACAAATTTGAATTTTTTATAAAAACAAAAAATTATTTTATGATGTAATTATGTTGTTAATACACTACGTAATATAATAAAATATTAATGGAATTAAATTGTTCGGAATTTTAAATATAATCCTTAAATACATATAGGTATATAGGTACATATTGTTATTGCTGTGGCGAGCATTCAAATTAAATATTGAATGTATAGAATATCAAGGTTTTGTTTACTATAAAATAAAGACATGGAATTAAATTTGTAATGTTTTAATAATCGCGTTATCACTGTTTCACGGTGCATTAAAATAATAATAATAAAACTATGAATATAAAAATAACAAATATTTCGAATAGAATAATTATTTATCGTAAAAAGCGATTTATTATACCAAACTAATATTACTAACTTTTATTTACATTTTATTTATAGACCAAAAATGTGTATTTGTTCAATATAAAAGATATAAAATCATTTATCACTGTTTTAGTAAAAATAAAAAATAAGCAGCAAAGCTGGGGTCGGACTTTCCCCATCCACCCGACTTATTGTCACCAATACAATAATTAATTTTTGTTTTTTTCTATAATTGATCTTAAATAGTTATGGTTGTCAAAATTTAATACGATTTTTTTCTTTAGATTCAGAGTTTAAAATAGTGTTTGCTTTGAAAATCAAAGTACATGTCCCTGATTTATTACAAATATAGTCTACCAAGTTTTATAACGTGTATATTAATTTTAATTGTAGAAATAATAGTAAAACTGATAACAAACAACTAATGATCTCACTCTAACCAATAAATTTTATTAATTTTAAATTGTTTCATATTAGTAAAAATGTTTACTCTTCAACTTATATTTAATTTGTGTTGATAATTTTTAGTTTACTCTTTGAATAAATAATATAAATGTGTAAAGTAAGTAGTATACAAAGAGCTACACCCCCCACAGGTTTTGCTTTAGAAATCTATTATTTCAATTATTGAGTTAAAAAGTGTATTCCTTGAAATCAAATGTATTTCAGGCTATGTTTATAGGGGCACATTTAAAACCGAGTATTTAAGAGTTGGAGTTTAAAAACCTAAACGGTACATCCTTTATAATTACACCATGCATATACAACATTTAATCTCTCTGATAGCTTAATTTGGGGGAATTTATAAGAATTAAAAAAGCTAAAAACACCATCCTCCCGTAACGATATATTTAAATTCAGATTAAAATTCACCCAAATTTGTAACACTTCAATCCGTCTTTAAAACAGCTTTAACTTCTCGGTATGAGTTCATTTGATCCAGAAAGAGCAGCTAGAAATGTCCAAAAGTAGTCACGTGTCGTACCGCCACACACATGATGTTCCACTACTCTCCCCTGACCCAAACTTAAAAGTGGAATATCTCACCAACATAAATCAAAAATATCAATACTAAAATTTATGTAAACTAATACTTCATCTGTTTACTATATATATTTAGTATAATATAATATATTTGTAATATAGGTTACCATTTGAAAATCAATAGTAGATAATCGTTTCATCCCCAAAATAAGGGCCCCAAAAATAATGATGACATTTGAAAGCTATTTATTTAATTATCAAAAAAACACCCACTAAATGTATCACCCCGGTATATATACCATAAGAGAATATAATGCAATAATCTCTATTTTCGGAGAAAATTCGAGAAAAAGTGATTGACCCTTTATATGAATAGCTTTCATAATTTATTTATGCTCATAATATTTATATGTATAATATATCAAATAATAATTAAAGGTAAATGTTTACCGAAATTAAACTTTTAGAGTGCCCCGCCTCAGTCTCAGTGAAAGGTTTCCGATGTCAGCTCTCGTTATTTAGTGTATTAATTTTGCGAGAATATATTCTTTTAGCTCAAAGTTTTATATTTTTTTAATTTAAACTTTTAATATAATACAAAATATTACGATTACATTTTATACTTTTTTTTTTTTAACATGCATTTTATTATTATAACCATCGTATTGAGTTAAGATATTAATATTACACATCTACGAATAAATCGTTTCTTTCTTTAAATTTAATTTAAAACGAAATTTATTTTAATTACTGAACTACCTTTGTTAGTTAAATAAACAAGAATCGAATTATTAGAAATTAGAATAAACACAATTTGTAAACATTATTATTCATGTTTATTCTCAGAAACGTAATATTTTTATTTCGTCTGGAAATTGATTATATGTATATTATCGTTGAAATTCAAACTACTAAGACCACCACTACAACTCCAGTTCGCTTTCAAACGAAAAAATCTTTCGCCTTTTACTAAAGAATTCCGTGAAGGGGAGTATTCAAAGGAGTCTAGAAACTAAAACCACCTAGTTGTTCAAACGTTCTGTAACGACTTGTGTGTAACGGAAATTATGGGGGGGAAGCTTGAGAAGTCTAAGCTAACTTGAAACGTATATACAGAGAAATTACCCTTCCTCAAATTACTAATTAATAATTTCGGTCAATGTACAGACCATTATCAGACCTACAGATCTGTAAACCATATTGGGTGTCACTAAGAGTGGCACTACATTTTAACCGACAATATATCATCCGAAATCCGAACATTTTATCCAAACCGTATTTTAACCAACAAATAAGCAGAACATTGGCAGTGGGCGAGTGAAAGGGAAGTGGTCCGACCTTTATCTTTTAAGACCGTGTTTGTATCTTTTATCCATAATAAGAATATTAACTAAAATACTATCGGCTCAAATATGATTCGATTGGAAATTTGTGTTTTTATACGCGTTCTCGTTGCTAAACGTTCTGTATTATTTGTAGACCTCTAAACTAACTATTTACAGATCTGTAAGTGACTGTAACTTACGAAATCGAATTCGTACACTTACATTCGCCATACACTTAAATTCGTCGTTATTAAATGATAATAAGTAAGTGTATTATCGAGTTACTGACTGTTCTACCGAGACTACCATGTATTCGGGATAAACAGTGAACATAGCTTTTATCTATAGCAGTGATTCTTAACCTTATTGGCACAACGAACCACTTAAAGAACTATCGATAGGTCTCAAACCACCTCGATTTCCTGATAAGCTTTTATTTTTTTTTTTTTACTTATAAAACAAATTTTTGTTTTGCAACTGTAAATGGCATCTTTTTGGATATTATCAGTTAACTCATAAACTTTAACAATCAAAAAGTTTCGAATCATACTTTGGATACCTATTGATTCTAAGCCATCATATTCTGGAAAATATCGATTCAATTTTTCTCCCAATTACCGTATAATTTTTTGAAAAAAGGTAGATTGTGGCCCAATTTCCGGATGCCCATATTTATCAACTTGTATACAGGTACGCATATATTGGTTTTCAATGTAATAATGATATAATGTACCATACGAATCATCCGATAAATTTCAAATAGATTAATTTTTTTATAATATAAAACTACAACTACAACATATGCATTATTTCACATATTTTCATGGAGTACAAAACTTATACTGAAAGGTAAAATCAACTCGCGTAGCATATTAAATACGAAATCAGTAATTTCTACACTTAACTCTATTTTCTAATCATTATATATTCAAATGTTTAATACAATTCAAAAACGTACTTCAAATTAATTTCAATATTGATTATTTATTTTATATTAAACTAAAATAAACAGAATTATACAAAATTGGTTACTATTATCATATTAATTATGTTATTGGACGTTTTTTATTATTTTTATTCGTGCCTACTTACTAATATCGTAATAATATTGAAAATTATTTTAAAACGTCTTTCTACCCCTTATTAGTTAATCGTAAAACAAATATAGGTATAGGTATATTTTAAGTGAATCCAAAGAAAGTACGTCATTATATTGTTTTACTTATAAAGCACTAAAACGAAAATTAAATTTGTTTTCATAATTTAGTATTTGTTTACAATGGTACATAATGTATTAATGCCATTGTTGAGTTTTAATAAAAATTATACAGTTAAGTTAATGACGGATCATTGCGGTCTGATTTTTTTTTTTTTCTTTGTTTACAATAAAAAATTTCTTGACGGAGTCAATAGATATAACATTTGTTTGCTGTTTAAATAATTGTATATAAACTAAAGCTTTTTTTTATTTGTTTAACTATAACTAACTTAGTCGAGTTGATTATATTTTTATTATTATTTGCATAGGTATTTTTAATTTCTTTAAATTTAATTTTTATAAAATATTCAGTATATGTGCCCTGTGCCCCATTTCCTGAATCTATTGTAAAATACTAAATCTATTGATTGAAGGTAATGGTTCGATATTGGTGATATTGATTAAACTATTTTATTTATAGAAGGTACCAATACGTCATATTATAATAATAAAAAAAAAAAATGGACATACTTCGCACGTGGGTAGGTTGCACTGTTGTAGGTGAAAAGTTGGGAATGTAATAGGGAAATTTAATGTATATCTGTACGCAATGATTAACCATTGTTAACAAAAAAACAATTCTGAGCGGAGGTCGGTTAATAGTATTGCTTTGTCGTCACCAATTTATATGTCATATTATGATAAAATAATAACATATGCATTATATATTTTCTTTAATAATACTTGTATAATATTGTACCTATTTTCCTGTTTTTCCTACGTTTTTTCCCGGTTTTCTCTTGTTTTTTCTCAGTTTTTCCCGTTTATTGGAAAAATTCCTGGGGAAATCAAAAATTACCTTCCTAAAGTATCACGCCTTTCAAAAAAGTACTATTGTAAATCGAAGCAAAATTGCTGGTAAAAAAAATTGTTAACAGAAAAAAAATTTTAAAAAATAAACATCATTGTAAAACCAATAAATTCCTCGCTCCACTTAGAACCTAAAAAAAACGTTTAAACAAATTAGTCTAAACACGACTAGAAGTAATAAGTATATATAAGTAAGTATTTTAATGGATTGAAATAGTTGCATACTTAAATTTCGACAAAGACGTGTTTATGCCAAATTATATATTTTGCGTAAACAACATTGTATTTATAGTACGTGTAGCTATATATATAATATAGTGAAATACGATTTATATTTATGTGCACTTTTGTGAAATATAATGTTTGAGGGCTTTTATTTAAGATACATGCTATAATGCATTATGTTAATCCGAATATAAGCTAAACGAAATACTCACGTTCGTTTATCATCAAATGTATTACGATAATAAATAAAAATAACAATACATAGGTTATTGCTGCATCAGTGGTGTCATTTGCGGTATGCAAAGGTATGCTAATGCATTTCATAAATTGCTTTTAATATATTTAAAATATGTAGATACAAATAATTTCATAGAATTTCCGAAATAATAGAATCATTTTGTAATAAATTATATAAAAATGTTTTATGTGGTTTTATCACAATAATTTAGCGATAATTACATAAATAGATATGTAACGGAAAAAATAATAGCTTTATAGATTACCACCAATTGCGTTTTAGTCATTTTTTTTTTTTTTTATCAAATTTAATTTGATCGTTATCAGAATACATAGACAACATAAATAATATAAAAGAATATGTATTGCTAATATGTTGTGGAATAGTAAATTTTGTATTTTATCATTATGAAAAAAATATAATATTGTTATAAATATACACTGTTGAGTGTAGTTTGTGCAATTTATATTAATAATATATTATAATACCTATATATATATATATTATAATACCTATACTATTAATGAGTACATTTCTTCATACTACATAATTGAATTCCCCATCCACCCAAATTATGTAATAAGTGAATACTATAATAAATCTATATTATGCGAGTTTAAACAATACAGTTTATTAATTCAATATTTTTCGACGAGGTGCATGCCTAACCTAACTTATATAAGTGTATGACATATATGTATAATATATACAAAAGACCAGATCCGTCTATCTGTAATGGTTTTTTCTTTGTAATGTAAATTCAAAGCATTTAGGTTGAAATTTAAGTTTAAGTACGCAAAACAAAATTTAAAGAGGAAGATATTTTTGAGGACTATATCTACGTAGCTTTTATCTAAAAAAAATCGTCACATAAAAAGTTACAGCCATATTAGTTTTAGAATTTTTTTAATCACTTTAATTCTATAACTTACGTTATTTGTGATTAAACTCCAATTTTAATCTAAATACCATAATATATATTCAAACGTACCTACGTTAATAAGACAAAGACAACACATGAGAATATGACATCCTCCTGATACCGATTTTCGAAATTATTTCCAATTTTATAAAATTCGACTTTTCCAATAATTTAATACCAATTTGAGAAAAATGTGTAAGGCCGAATAGGAGTTTTTTTTGTGTGAAATAATCAATTATATTTTGCTAATTGTATTAATCTACCTAATTATCGGAAAAACCGTCTAAACAAATTTTTGAAGTCGTCATTATTTGTAATAATTTCGACACTGCAGTGCAATTATATGCAATAGTGAAACCAATTTCCTAAACTGTAAATTAAATACACATCATTAGTATCATTGCAGTCAACTTTTATCAGATGAGTGCACTAATCTGATAAAAGGTACATTAGATTATTAGTCACTTAATAATCAATCATTAGTCATACTTCGGTCTACTTATACTTATATATGTACAGTAGGTACACAGTTTTTATATCTACCTATGTAAACAAATTTAGCCATATGAAGTTGCAGCATTTAGACTTAGCATTAGCCATTTTCAATGTTTCTCCATGTATTATAAATACATTTTCAGGTACTTAATTTAGTCAGATGTCTCGCACGTTATTAGGTAAAATTGTATATTTTTTTATAAAATATTATTTTTAATTCGCGGAAGATTAAGTGAACTAGAGGAGAATTTGTCTTACAAAATGGTCTTAAAAGGCCGCAATCCAAAGAAGAAGAAGAATTATTCTTCACTACATATCTATATAATATATTATGAAAATTATATAAATTAATCATTTCATAAATTATACGAGTTGAAAGTATCATACATTTTGTATGGTTACGATCGTTGTTTATTATAATATTATGGTATTAAATATTAATGAGATCATTAATAATAATAATATTCTATACATCAACGGTCAACATTTCTGTTTTCCAAATGTATACTGTTTTTTTAATAACACAAGTATAATAAAGTTACTGATAACAAATAAGATAATAATATTATTGTATCAAGGAAAATATTTATACGTTTTGAGTTGGTGTTTCATATCATTTATCGAATATTATTGTTATTCTTAATATTATCATTAGATATACCTAACAATATGTTTATTTAACAAATAATATTTTATTTTTAAACAATGATATAGGCAGGATTTCTTAATGGGGGGGGGCAGATGTGCTGTGCACCGTTGTGACGCTCATCATGTAGTATACCTACTGCTTACTGCTTATAGATAGATCTTAAGTATAAGATATGTATATATAGGGTTACTTAATTTATATCTGTACTTAACGATAGTAAATCATTGCTAACGAAAAACGATTCTGAGCAAATTTCGATTAATCATGTATTGATATGTATAACGCACTGAAAATTATATTAATTTGTACCTATAATTACAAAATAAATTACAATTGTCCGTGTTTTTCGGTCTCAAATTTTTGAACACAAAAAGGTTTTATCTATATCAATTGAATAATAGTACTTGAAATGCTGTGGTTTAATAATTCTCATCATCATCATTATTATTCAAGCATTTTTGAAAATAAAATGGAATTTAAAAAAAAAAAAATTAAATTCGAAGTATGAATTAAATAACTTAATTCCATTTGTACTTTAAATATGATTTAACTGTGTGAGTCTAGTTTTGAAAGAACAATAATAATTATTTATACAAATAATAATAACATATTATAATAACTTATAGACGAAAATTCGAAGACACACAAGTCCTTATTCAAACTCTTAAATCTAACATAATGTTGGAAACTGAATACAACGAAAACCATGCTTCATTTGCAGAAATTTTAATATTTGGAACAATTTATTTACAAAATAAATGCAATATGACCTTTAAATAAATATACTCAGTAACCTAAACTTAAAAACTAATATATACATTTTTATCATTTCAGGCAAGACATCATTATAATACTTTTATTGTAATAACAAGGATATTAAAATGTAATTTTCAAAATATTTAATTACAGAATTCAAAAAATTTTTAATTAAGTTAACAAGTAAAAAAATTATATTCTGTTAACGTAAAACAAAAAAAAACGCATATTCATATTATATAGATTTTGAAATAAAATAGTAACAGAAATAGTTGCACAAAATAATTTATTTAATTATATTATTAAAATACCACAAATTTTTTTCTCTAAATATTTTAAATTACCTACAACCATATACAATAATCGAATTACTCAATTCACTAAACAAACAATAGATAACGATCAGGGTGATTTAATAAAAAAAAAAATGGAATATATACAGGCAATAATTAATAAATTAATTAAAGAAACATTAAATATTGACCCAGAACAATTTTACGAAAAATTTAATATACTTCTAACACAATACAGACAGCAACAAATCAATCTTACCCAACACTTTAAGTATAACAATTTACAAAAAATAAATAACCCCAATTGCAATTCAATTTTATTAAATACACCATCATCAATTGAAAACCTTCTAGAAATATATAAAACAAGTAATTTTTAAAAAAGGTATAATTTTTTATTTAATTATAATTACAGAATTTATACCGTTAATTAATTTTTCAATTTTTTTTTATTTTAAAGGTACAATAATGAAGAGTTCAAAATTAAAGTTCAGTTATAGGAACTAGTGGCTGACAAAATTATTTGCTTGTTTATTTCTTAATTATTAATAATTTTAAAAATATTGTTTTTTTTATTATTCAATTTGTTAAATTTGTTATTTGTTATAAAAAAAAAAATATTAAAAAACGAGTGCCAAAGACAACCTAATTTTTCATATTTCAATCTTTAAAAGGTTTTCCTCATTATGTCAAATATTAATGTGAATTTCTAAAAATGACCTTTCTAAAATACCATCTCGGTAACTGGAGCTTTCAGAAAAGGTGCTACACGTAAAAATCGGAACAAGATTTCCAGTTGAATTTGTATACTAATACATTCCTCAGTGGTAAAAACAATACGATGATAAAATAATATAATACTCGTATAATGTAATCTAAAATAAATAACGAAAAATTGAGCCAAGATAAATCAATTCCGTATGTATAGAAACAAAGAACTCGCATTTACGTATATTATTGTATGTTAAAAAGCGACACAATAAAATTCGTCTTGTTTAAAAGAAATAACGAGATTATAATAATAATATAATAAGAAATTTCAAAATCCGATTTGGCCGATTTGTAGATAATATTGATAATAAAAAATATATACTTCTTCCGTACGTCGTCCTCCTTTCGTCCTTTATAAAATCCAAATCAGTTTTTATAATCTCGATACGTAAACACTGCACACAGTAAACTTGGTAAACAATAAAATTATTACTTTTATTACAATACTAATCAGTGATGGCGTGAGGTTTATTTTTTCTGTAAAGAAGTTTCGGTAAATTTGCAAAAAACCTCTCAAAACCAAATGAACCAAGACTGGCAAATAAGGCGCCTAGACGTTTCTGTACTTGGCATTTTTTCTTTAACATATCCAATGATAGGTTAGGTTACCATACATACACACCCTATCCACCTAATTTGTTGTTAAAAATGTTTACCTAACCTAACTGATTTTTACACTAGCGCAGAAACAATAATATTTAAAAAAAAAAAAACAACAATTTTCTGGAGACATTGAACCGTAGGTATTTAATAGTTTTATGAAAATAAAATAAAAACAAAATGTATAACACTTATATTACTTAAACACTTATTTTTTACATAACACTTATATTACTTATGTAAAAAATAATATCTTAGAGTAGATTTATATTTAGATTATATTTGTATACTCATGATTATTTGCCGAAATTAATGATTATTGTAACGTTTCTAATAGAATTATTGTATTTAATCTAAGGAATACTCATTGCTCAGCATATGCCAGTGTATCTTTACATGAACCAATTCACCCTATTTGTCTCACCCTTATATCTCTGTTATCTCTTAAGATGGGCTTTTGAAACTTGAAACATAGATTAAACTTAAGTAGCTTAGGAAATTAAAAAAAATGAGCCCTAAATATAAAGCTTTTTCAAAAGGGGGAGATTTCAAAGTTTGTATTTTTATTACTGACTGACTGACTTACTCATGATCGAAATTATAAAGAACTTTCGGTGTAGGTAAAAACTTTAAAATTTGACACACATGTAAGCTTTATAGTATAAATAAATTAAATAATTTGAAAATTGCCATCTTCTCAAAATGAGTTCCGCTTAATAGTTCCAAATACGTAAAGTGACGTGCATGAAATGATTTTGATAACCCTTTTTTCAAGGTTAGGTATGTGTTTGGGATTGAAATATATTAGGTATGGAACAGACAATTATTAGAATTCCAATACTTTGAACAAACATTTTTTTTATTGTTAGTCTTTGATTTTTTATATTTCTTGTAAAATGTAATTACAATACTTGGAACAAAAATGTACTAGAATCATAATACTTTGAATAGATATTTATTATCGTTGCAAAAACATATTATTCCATAAAATAACAGCTCTGCATGCCACGGCTGTTCCAAGCAATATATTTTATTCAAAACTCTATTAATTTTAATTATTTTATTTCAAAACCATATCATTCCGTGAAATGTCTGTTCTGACCATTTTTCAAAGGTATAATATATAAAATAATTTTCAACTTTTTCTAAATTTTGTTTTTGTAATGTAATTCAGTTCAAAATATTCATAGAGACTTGACATTTTTACAAAGAACGTATAATTGCTTTTTCTAGACGTTGTAAAATTTTCAAAATATTTAAGCCAATTTTGAGCTATTAATGTTGCGAGTTTTTACAAAATTTTTATTTGGTAGGTACTTTTTTAGATGAAATTGTTTAACCAAATAGAAACGCTTGATAATTTAACAGGATGTTCATTGTAAGTTATACGGTCAAAAAAAAAGTTTATGTGTCATGTATCCAGTATTTTATTATTATTATTATTATTAATTGTAAAATTAATTTTTTATAAAAACCGTAAATATTACGTCTTTTCAAATCATGTTGTCTTCCTTTGAATCGTTTTTCATTAAAAATGGTTTATCGTTAGTTACAAGTATAATAAATAACCAGTATCAGTTATTTTTTTTTAAAAAAGAATCAAAAATTTGTATTGAATTGTTTTAATATTAAAACTTTATTAGTTATTAAATATAATATTTAATATATGAGCAAAACATTGGACAAAGGATGCTAATGTATTTAATTCACTTGTATCTGTATCTAAACATTAAAGCACCCTAAGATTCATATTTGAAAAACAAAAGTATGTACTTATTTAGGGTATAATATGGAGTTGAGATAAAAAATTAAAAATCATTTTAAAATAAAGCTTTAACGTTTCCACAATGATTAAAACAAAAAAAACATAAATCAAATTCACTTAACATTCTTCGAGATAATTACTGGTTCTTGATAAAAAAAATCACTGCGTATATATTATATTTTTTATTTTAAACTAGATGAACCTGACCACATTTTAGCACACAGAAATTTAATTTTAATTTTAAATTAAGTAAATTTACGTTTAATTGAACTACATTGGAATATATTTTTACTTTTTACTTTTTTACGCATTTTTACGAAAACATGAAATAATTTGTGTAGTTAATTGTTTAGTATGATTATCAGCTTTATCAGTTTATCACTGCAGGTGACATATGAATCGTAGTTAATTGAACAACTAGCTTCAAGAACACATTTATATTGATTTAATTTAAACCATAATTTATCTACCAAATATTAATAATCCTCATCGCTTCTATCGCGCATGTAATCACTTAAAACAAATTATTATATTATATAAGCTTATATTACAGCTTGTAAAAAACAAAGGCTAAAAACAATTACAAGACATTAACAACATACTGCGTGGCGTTTTATCAAATATTGATTATCATGGGTTTGATTTAAATTAAACCGCTTGTATAAAGTATGCACCGATCACTTCAATGGATGTAGAGTGTTCGTTTTCGTATAAGAATACTTTTTCTAATAATAGAGTCAGTTTCGCATCTAAAAATCCAGCAAAATACATGATAGTTGATATTTTTTTAAATTTAAATTTATTTTTTTATTTTTTTTATTCAATTGTATACCTACTTTAAGCTAATTTTTGGTCATATTTTTTTTTTTATTAATTGAGCTCTAAAATCCGAATCCTAGTTATAACGTAATGCTTTTACCAAGTGATTTACGTTTTCGTATACCAGCATAATCTTCAATATGTATTAGATGAGAATTTTTTTTTCTTTAAAAAATGTTATTTTACTTAATTAATTTAACTATCTTTTTTTTAATTTGAAATAGTATAAGTATCATCTAATGAATTATTTTAGATTTTGTGTAAGATGATTATAGAAATGTGATTTTCAATATAAGTTCATCAGTTTATTGTATAAAATGTATACAATAAACTGATGAACTGATATTTTTACTATAAATACATCAATTGATATTGTAGTTTATTGCTCAATATTTGTTTTTTTTACAGATTATATTTTTTTTAGCCACTATGGAATTTGTTTTATCAATGTATCTCAACACTCCCAACATTATCGAAAACAAATTGTGACTGCATAGAGCATAGTAATCTCGAATAAATACGTGTTGTCATATTTCACATTAAAAATATATCAACAATTCAAAGGTCAAATAAATTGTGGATCTTAAATTACTACCTATATTTTAAATTAAAACCATCATATCATAATCGTCATAAATGACATGATACATTAATGACAATTTTGTTATTTGTATTTTTTTTTTTTTAACAAAAATAATAATTTCAGTATACTCAAGAATATTAATATTAACAATAACTAGTTGTGTTATTCATATGCACTGCGATTTTTTGTACAAATTTTACTTCTATCGTGGGTGCTTGTATTTACCTATTAAACCAAATAATTTTAATTTCTGAAGAATCGAGTGAAGAGAAATCTAAGCCGTCGGTTTTAATTGTAAACTTGGCCAATCCAACCAATACTTTTTCTTACTACTTAAATACTTTAATACTTAAACATAATTTCTTGAAAATATAAATTGGTGACAAAGTGGTTGACAAATGGCATATACAAATCATAAGTGCAGTCAGTGAACTTCACTGGGGCCTATCACTAGGTATAAAAAAATCGCGCGGAATATATAAAAACCTTTAAAATTATGGCTTTATTATAATCAATATATTATGTAGAAATATTCTAGCTTTAACATGTAAATTATAGACTCGTGATTCAGTAAACAAGTTATAAACTCGAAATACCTATAATATTGGAAATATATTATCATATTTATATTTATATTTGGTTGGTAAATATTTATAATATATCTATAAAACCTTGGGATGGGCCGATACCACTTTTTATCGATATCCGTTATTCCGATAAATAGGTACTACCGATATAAAACCAATACTCGATATCCGATAGTTGAATTCGAAAACCATGAGTTAATATTGAATTTAACCAATATATTGGTTGAAAACTTGATTTACTAATACTTTTTGCATAATCCAAAGACATTATAGATATTATCCCCAAAATTACCGTTTCAAATATCGGTATAAAAAAAACCTGATATTATAGATAATACAAATCTACCGATTTCAAGTATCGGTTTATTTATCGGCCTATCCTTAATTAAAACCCCTGATATCATAATTCAATATATAGGTAAAAAAAAAAAATGAATATACTTCTTACGATGGGTGAGCCACTGTTGTAGGTGAAAAGTTAGGAAAGTAGAGGGAAAATGTAATGTATATCTGTACGCAACATTTAACCATTGTTAACGAAAAACGATCTGAGCGGAGTTCAATTATATACATGTTTTGAAATTCCGTGATATTTACGATTCAAAAATAATAAATTTCGTAAATTTTCACGGTTTTCCTACATTTTTTTATCGGTTTTTCACATTTATTTTGAAAACTCCTGAGAAAATCAAAAAATTACCTCTTTAAAGTACCACTGAAGTCCAATTTCCTTTCAAAACAAGTACTGTACTTGAAAATTAGAGCAAAATTTCTGGTAAAAACGTTGCTAACAGATAAAAAAAAATAAAAAAAATTTAAAAAATGTAAATCATTGTAAACCCAATATACAGAATGGTAATAATAACTTATTTCTTAAAAGCTAAAATTTAAAGTTTAGAAGATCGAGCATATATTATAATGAAATAAATATTTCCCCCTCTATTATATTTATAATATTTCCCTTCCCTACAGATTACCTCGAATCACTCTACAAACAGTCGATTCATTGTACAATTGCGTTATCACATTATATAAATACATCTATAATATGCAGTTATCTATATTTATATTAATGCAATTACGGTAATATTTAAGTAAGTAGTGTATATTAATTATATTATTTGTTGTATTATATTCTCTAAAAAATAATTAGAAAACTAAACTATACCTATACCGCGAACTCTAAACCCGATACAAAATAGGTACCACCATCATATTAGATTATTGTACCTATTAACGACTTCAAAGTCTAGCCATAATGATGAATATCGATTTTATTCAAATATTCGGTTATGTATAGTATAGTAATAACTATATAAGAGAATATGAATAAATTAAACGTTCTGATCCGATGAGATCAGTGATTGCAGTTACTTAACAAAGTCCCTGTACTAAAAGTCCAAAAATCAAAAGTGTAAAAGACTAATAAACTGGGTACGTACCTTGTGTTCGATGATCCATAGATCCCTGAAATTATTAAAAAAGTTAAAAAAATATATAAACGTGTTATATAATAATACTAATTTAAACCCCCCTGAAATTTGTTTTCACTTACGGCCTTGTTACTATCCATGACACTAATTCGCCCCATTCTTAAATAAGCTACAGGTCCTCTACTATTGTGATCAATACTGAAAAATATATAGATTTTATAATAAAAATCGTAACATCAAATTAAACAAGTTTTAACATATTTTTTACCGTTATTATAATATTATTTCATATTTTAGGATAAACATTGTGCAACAAGAATAGATGTAGGTATTAAAAATGTAGGAATGCCCATAGAATATTTAATTATCTTTCAATATATTATATTTAAATAGGACATGAGACCTAGTACATTTTAAAATTATTTTTTTATAACAGTGCCTAATGTAAGCTATTAAATTTCGTCGTATAATTATTTATCCATTATATTTTATAACTTCATAGAAGAATATTATGACCAAAAGAAAGTATGATTGATTGACCTGAAAAGATAAAATCTTACAGTATACCAAACCAAATATAAATTTTTATAGAAATTATTGTTAGGTAACTTAATTTTTCCATAACGTTTTCATATTTTCTTAAATAACTTTTTTTTTTTTTTGCATCCAGAGTGCAAACTAAAGTAAATTGCATACACGTCCGTGCAACAACCCGAAGGTATGCACTATTTGTATAGTATGATTGATGACAATAATATAGGTAATGTAATTCATCCAACTTCAAGTGTTTTTATTGAGTATTTCCTGTATGCGTTGAGTTAAATAGATGTATAAATTGCATTAATTTAACCTATTAAGGAAAAACAAAATAATAATATTTTCGTCTACATTGTCCACCGCAAACGAATAAACACAATCTAATAATGTACTGTATCTGTACTGATACTTTTATCTCTGTTATAGTTATATGTAATAGTACATCACAAAAAAAATATGTTCTGTAAACAAATTAAACAAAAATAAGCTGATACTCAGAGATGGGTGTGCCATTGTTATATGTAGAAACTTGGGAAAGTAAGAAACATATAGTGATTTAATTTATACCAGTAAACAACGATAAACCATTGCATTAGAGTAACCAACGATTTGAAGCAAATTTCGGTTGTACATATTTTGAAAAGCCGTAATATTTATTATTTTTACATAAATTTGAAATTAAAACTCTTATAAAAAAAAATACTACATTACACACAATTTTTTTTTCTTTGACCGCTAAATACAATTTTTAATGAATATCCTGTTAAATTTTCAAGAGTTTTTATTTGGTTAAACAATTTTATCCACAAAGTACGTACTAAATAAAAATAATATAAAAATCTCGCAAAATTAAAATGTTTATAAATAGCTCAAAAATGGTTCAAATATTTCGAAAATTTTACCACGTTTAAAAAAAACAAATGTAAGTTTTTGTTAAAATTTCAAATATCTATAAAAATTTTTAACTGAATTTTAACAAAAAACGAAATTGTATATAATAAACCACCATGTTCTTAAATTTTACCGTTCTTTCTATATTTTTTTTCGGTTTTCCAAAATTATTAAAACAATTATTTGGATAATAAAAAAACAACTTTCTTATTCACCAACTAGATTAATAATGCAACTAAAAAGGTCTCTTGTTGTTTTTCTATTGTAGCAATATTTTTTGTCGAAAACATAAGCCGTAAAAGTTTAAAATAAAGGAATCATAAATAAATTTATCAGCTTTCATTTTTATGTTTTTTTTCGGTTTTTCCCAATTGGTGTTACCCCAAAAATAAACGGTAAATAGCGTGTTATATTGTTGAGCTCTTTTCTCTGTGAAAAAAAATCACAATCACACCATTGTAACTTTGTATTTTAAATTCTGAGTGTGTTGAAGAATGTATTGGTTTTACAAAGATGTTTATTTTTTATTTTTTTATACTGTGTATAAAAATTCTACCAGAAATCTTGCTCCGATATTTACGCTTGACACGATTTCTGAAAGAAAATATTGTCTAGATGGTACTTTAAGGAGGTTATTTTTTTATTTTCTAATGAGTTTTCTCAATATATTTGAAACAACGGTAAAAACGAAGGAAGAATATTAAAGAAATAATTAAAGAAAATATTTAATGCAAATGTTACTATTTTATTATACTATGACATATATTTTTGATAAAGCAACTCTATCAACTGAACTTCGCTCAGAATCGTTTTTTCATTAGCAATGGTTTATTGTTGCTTAAAGATACAAATCAATTTCCCCTCTATATCCTACATCTACATTCCCAACTTCTCACCAACAACAGTGGTTGCACCCATCGTGCGAAGTATGTCCATCTTTCTAGTTATATAAATCTCGAACAAATGGAGCAAAATAATAAAATGCCTCATCTTCTTTCACATAGTATGTACTATTTGCATGTACACCAACTTTTTTGACTTTTCTAAAACGGTGATTTTTTATTATTTTGCAAACTTTGCATGAGATTTTTTAACGAAAAACAATAGTAAAAAACAATACATATAATAACTATATATACAGAGTAATCAATCTGTCGTAAGACACTGATTATCTCGGAAAATGTTTACTTTTTCCGGAATTTGTTTTTTAGAATATTCATGAAACAAGCTGCTCTACAATTGTATATTTATGTTATTTTTTGTCACCCTTATTTTTGGAGGTAAAACCACTTTTGATTTTCAAATGGCAACCTACATTAAAAATTCGATAAATAGAAAATTCCCACTTTTAAGTTTGGGCTAGAGGAGAGTGGTAATGCATTATTAACGCGCTGCGCGCCGTACCGCCACACAAATAATACTCCACTACTCTCCTTCAATACAAACTTAAAAGTGGAATATCTCATCAACGGTTTGACGGAAATAAAAATGTCAACACTAAAATTTATTTTAAATCTATAA